AGGTGCCTTTTGCCGGACCTATTTTGCCGAGTCACTTGAAGTGGCCTTTTGTCTTTTTGGGCGGGTTCCTTATATTGGCATGTGTAGCTAGTTTTGGGTCGAACTATCTTAGATACTTTGTCAATATGTAATTTTTGGGGTCACTTGCTACCCTTGTATAGACTTATATGTGTGAACTTAATACAAGCATGTGTATGTATGCTATATTGTGTTAAGATCCTGGCATTTAGACACAACTCAATGGATGATATATTTTGACATTATATTTGCTTCCGTTTAGGCGCCAATGTTGTATCAAACTTCAATGGAGTTTTGAGGCCTAAGTCTAGGTCGGTCATGTCCAAACTTTTAGGGGCAGGTTTGGGTCATGACACATGTGAAAGATGTTTTGTTTTGTTTTTGTCTATCTGTACATAGGGATAAGTCCCTTATGATACTATCTGTATAGTGATGCATGACATATGGAAGTTGACACAATTTATATATATGTATGATTTAAATTTTCTGTTCCATGTATGTATACACAGCTCTATGGACATTGTATTTTGTATATTTGCTTCTGCAGCCCTTTATATTTTGTGATTCTATTCAGAGGCCTTTGGTAATCCAAGGATTACTGGCTAGTTACGATGCTAAACTTATAAGGGCGAGTTTGGGTCTTGACACATGGAAATCATGATTTTGAGCTTCTACATACATGAATATTTTTAAAGGCGGCAAATCAAATATAATTCATTTTAGTAACTTTATTTCTTGAATTAAAATGAAATAATACAAAGCCCTAAAGAAATCATGATTTTGAGCTTCTACATACATGAATATTTTTAAAGACGGCAAATCAAATTTAATATTCTCATGAATAACAAACTAGCACAATGAATCATAACAAAAACATGGATTAAGTATACTAATTCATCAAATAAAATAATTGTAATAACGTGCTCTTTATACATTTCAAACGAAAGAGATAACATCCCTACCTTATTTTACCACAATGGCTTTGTTTGGGAAGACAGTTGGGTTAAAATAACCCATTAAAAGACAAAATAGCCTAAAATAACTAATAAAACAAAATATCAGATTTAATTCATAATTATTTCACTTTTTTTTCACACATCTATCAAATCGACTAAAAAAAAGAAAAAAACGAACCAACTTCTCAAATACAATTTTTTTAATTAGGCTAAAATAGCCAAAAATCTAAATAGTCAACTTCCCAAATAAGGCCATTAACATGAAATCCTCATATTCATTAATGATGAATATATAAATTTTCATTCCATCAATAAAAACAAAAAGATTTGAAAGCATCTCTTATTACCCTATCTAATGGTTAAATTTATACAGGCTTCATCTGAGAACTTTGGCTATTTTTGTTATATAAAGAAGATGAAAAAAATTTATATTTAGTCATTATACTCAATGTAAGTGTATAAAAAATATCTAAAATATAATTTTCGTTGAATTTAATGAATAAAATACATTTTTTTTTCATTTATTTTACTTGATAAAAATAGAAAAATAATTTAGATTGAAAGCAAATAAAAAATTTAGGGTTTAAATTAATAAAATTAAAAATTTAGAGTTTATTATAGGGTTCAAACTCTAGATTTTTTTTTATTTTTGTAATTCTTTTGTAATTTTTTCAATTCTATTTGTATATCATTACTCTTAAATAAAAATGAGAGATTATTGCATTATGTTTGATTTGGATGCAATAAAAATATTTAATTAGTTTTTACTATTAACTAAAAAAAGAAAATAATTTGAAGTGGCATAAGTGTATCTTCGACAAATATGTTATTTTTTAGGTGACTGCTTAACAATATTTGACATTTTTAATTTCTAAACACTCTCATAAAATTCTTATTTACTTGAGCAATATTTGGTATTGTCCTATCCAACACTTACTTAAACTTTACCAAATACATATTTATGCACTTATATATAGGAGGGAGTTGGGTTGTGCTAAGAAGCATGGCTCTCATTTTTGTCAAATACATAGGTTTTTTTATTTTTTATTTTATTTTATTTTATTTTTATTTTTTCTAACAATAATAACCTTATCATAAAAAGTAAAAAATTTAAAACTTTACTAAAAATAGTTGTAAAAGCAGCTAAAAAAAAAATTGGATATTAATATTTGTTATCATTGAATAACAATAAGTGTTAATATGACAAATTTATGTACAATACTTCGTTATCATTTCATGTGTCACAATTTTAGTGATATAATATAGCGACCCTGGGTCTCTACCCGACTATCATGATATTCTGGATCCAAATCTTGTTGTTTGATACAGCTGGTTATGTCTTTTTTTTTCCTTATACCTCTTGAATTTGAGTGTTGGAGTGACTTGAGCGTGTTTAGAACAGGTTGGTTGCGTTTCGGTCTAAAATCTTGTTGCCCAAATTTTTGGCCTTCCACTCGAGCGAGACTTCTTGCGCTCGAGAGGAGTTTGTAACCTTTCAGTATCGAGTGTCTCTGCAAAAGTGCTGCAAGAGTGTTTTTCACACTCGAGCAGCGTTTCTTACGCTCGAGCGTGTCTGAGTTCGAGCGGCCCTTTTGGCGCTCGAGCGGCTGTCTGTAATCTATGAAACACTGGGCGGGTTATTGTTGCTGTGTCTTACGCTCGAGCGTGAATCCCTACGCTCGAGCGAGATTCGTGTATATCAGTTCGTAAAAGCGACTTTTTACATAACCTTTTCATCTCTTTTTCATCCAAACCCTAAGTTGAGAGCTTTTCTCTCTAGAAATACCTCATCTCTCTATATTTGACCTAGATCTAGTGATCTTCTCATCCCCCTTCCTTAGATAAAAAGATTGGGCTCTTTAAGATCTTCATTTCCATCCAAGAAGAAGAGGGTTTTGGCATTTTTGGAAGCTTCACCTTTGTCTAGCCCTTCTCCTTGGACTTCTACTTTGAGGTAGGGAATTCTAGAGTTATATATATATATATATATATATGTTATGCTACAAAATGTTAATTTTAAAGTTGCAATGAAGTAGTTGTGTTAGTTTTAAATTTTGTACTAAGTGAGGAAAGAGAAAGAGGGTTTTCAAAATTGGATTTCTAAAATCTCAAATCTTTTGTCCTTCCTAAGGGGCTCTCTTTTCATTTGACTCATAAGATGTGATTTGGGTTGGTTTTCACCTAGAAGTGGATAAATGTTAGATTTTTGATAAAAGCACTAGAAATTGGGGGATTTTGAAAACACATGGAAATATTTGTGAAACTCTTTACTCTTTTGTATTATGATGGTGGGTGAGATGATATTAGTGCAAAGTGTTAAAAATGTTGAAAGTGTATGTTGTTGGGAGTGATGAATGTTTTTGTATCATGTGCATGAAACTTCGTAAGATCTTGGAATTGTGTTGAGAACATAGTTTGCCTTGAAAGGATTTATTGGCTGTAAATTGTTGTTGTGAGGAATGGCGGGCACATGGGCATTTTGTGAAATGACTTGAAGGGAAGAAATGAGAAATGATTGATTGATATTGTTGTAGAGATATTTTGAGAATAGTAACTATTGCATCTTATTTCAATTTATTATTATTATTATTGTGCACCTTGACATGTTTTGGAAAAACATTTATTTTGAGAAAGACCATGTTGTAATGAGAATTATGGAAATGTGTAAGGGGTAAATATGTTGGTAAGTCCGGATAGGAGGTGTAGATGAATTTGATAAGTTGGCCAGAGTGTCCAGGGTGAAAAGACCCGAAAGCCGCGCAGATAGGTGTCAAGCCTTCCGGTTAATACCGATAAAAATGACAGTTTGGTAGTACTTGTAGAATCTACTTGCAGACACTAGCCTAGGGATTACCAGTGTCGTATTTACCGCCCCTATTGATTAATGATTGGAAATTTTGGTAAAACAATTGAGATGGTAAATAATTGTTGAAGAGATTGAAACCTTTAAATGTGCATGAAATGGACTTTTTATAAGGATGCATGGCATAGCATTAACAATTGCATTGTTTAAAGAGTATGCATAACTGTATATACTTTGTAAGAATTCTCTACTGGGCTTTGTGCTCACCCCTATGGGATTTGGTGCAGGTCAAGATGTGGTGAACCCGACGAATTGAGGGCGTGGAAATGTTGTGAGAAGAGTAATGTGCACTTTATTTTGTCGTGAATATTTGTAAAGCCAAGGGCTATTTTTGGTATGGGTTCGAGAGACCACTTTTGTGTAGCCAGGTTATTGCCTTGGAAGATGTAAGCCCATAAGGGCATTTCTTTATTTTACTTTCACATAGAAGTTCATATGTTTCACATGCTATAAATTAAGGTGTTTTCATATCTTTGAATGTACGTTTGCATGTGGAACTTTTGTATAAACCTTGGATATTTTTGAGACAGAGAAATGGAGAATGATAGAAATTGGGAAATGTGCATGATTGATGTATTATTCATGTTGGGTTTATTTCGGGGCGTTATAACTTGGTATCAGAGCTACCAGGTTTGAATACTTGGGGCTCGCGGGGAGTGGTTATTATACCACAATGGATTCATTTCGCATGATTAGGAAATGTCTTGTTTATTTGTGACTATGCGATAGCATGCTTATGTGACTATGTGGGTATGGGATTAGACTTTTGGGATGTTATTTGCGCCTATTCGTTTCCTTGAGGTCTTTTTAGAAGTGTACTTGATCACTACTCATTCTACTAAGAATTCTTGGTTTCTCATGGGACAAATTTCATCACTGAAGGATGATTCGTATATGTTTATGTGACGAAGGTGCTTGTGTGGAGTGAATTAAAATGTGGTGTAGTAGGATGCACGAGGTTGCTTTAGCTAACGTGTGAATCTAGTAGCGAGCACATTTGGAATCGTGTGCTTAATTATTTACCTTGCCTCTCAATTAGGATGTCAGGAAGAGTTCGAACCCAAGGTAGTAGGGGTGGAAGGCGAGGTCGAGGTCGCTAGGGTGTATTTGAGGTGCCGGTCCAAGAGCTCCCGGTACAAGAAGAGGGTTTAGGCCAAGCCGACATGGCCAAACAAGTGGGGCAAACGGAGGTGCCGGGTCAAGCCGGCCATGCCGCAATAGGGGCCCTAGCCCAGGAGATGGCGGGGGCATTGAGGGAGTCCATGAACATACTAAGGGCGAAGACCCAAGTGAGGGAGAATGTCGCCGAGACTAGACCTAGCTTCCTCACGAGGGAGTTTTTAAGGGCCAAGCCGGATGAATTCCATGGCGGCCTCGATCCAAAGAAAGCGGACGAATGGTTGGAACAAATCGTGAAGACATTTGTAATGCTTCACATAGATGATGGCGAGTTGAGGGTGACCCTTGCTAGTTATTATCTCAAAGGTGACGTCGGCCAATGGTGGGAATATGCAAAGGGCCGGATAGCACCAACGTGGGAGGCATTTGTGACGGCCTTCCAAGACAAGTACCTACCTCCTACGGCTCGGGAGAGGTTGAGGCAGGAATTCAAGGACCGTAAGCAATTGAATATGTCCGTGGCCGAATTCGAAGCGGCCTTTTCTAGTTTGTCCCTGTTTGCACCGGAGTTGGTAGCGACGGAGGAGCGTCGTTGCTTTGAGTTTGAGCAGAGGTTGAGGACAAAGATTTTGTTCAAGGTTGCTGGGAACATGATTTGAGAGTATGATTGCCTTGTGGAGGCGGCTGCGCATGTGGAGATTACGATGGAGGCTGAGGAGGAGAGACTTCGAAATTTGAGGTCTAGGGGCCATGGATCGCAGGGAGATTATAGGCCCAATAAGAAGAGTAAGAACACCTTTCCATCCCAATCCCTGCCCCAGCAGCAACAGTCTAGATCCACCTTTCCCTTGCCTAGTGTGGGCTCGGGAAGGGGTGCACCGAGTGGGTTTTCTTGCTTCAAGTGTGGCCAACCGGGTCACAAGGCCTTTTCATGTCCGCAGAAGGGGGGAGGACAACAGATGTTGCCACCACCACCACCTAACCGATCCCAGAGCCAGTCTCAGTCTCAGAGTAGGGGACAGGGGCCTACTTGTTTTCAGTGTGGTCAGTCAGGGCATATGAGGAAAGCTTGCCCACAGTTGGGAGGCGCATCTGGCGCGTCTGTGTCGAGGCAGACCCAGAGTCATCAGCAGACTCATTCAGTCCAGACTTTGAGAGTCCACCAGGGAGCCGCCTCGGCTCAGTCAGTACAGCAGGCCTATGCTCTGAGGGATGAACAGGTTGACTAGAGGCCACAGGGGCGCGTGTATACTGTTACAGCGCCAAAGCAGTTGCCAGGACCTTCGGTTGTGAGAGGTATATTTATTGTGTGTAATTCTTTGGCCAATGTGTTGATAGACACGGGTGCATCCCATTCATTCATATCTGCTGCATTCACATCTGCATTGGGGTTAGAAGTGGTACAGTTAGCGTCTCCACTCAGAGTTGAGTCACCGGTTGGGGGTACAGTTGACCTAGATCGGGGGTGTTGTGACTGTGAGATAGAGGTTGCCGGGCGTAGACTCCTGTTTTCTTTTGTGTTGTTAGACATGTCCAGTTTTGATGTTATTATAGGCATGGATTGGTTGTCGTTGTATCGGGCTGTGATTGATTATTTTCCACAAAGAGTCACAGTGTGCACTTCGGGTGGCGATTGTTTTTATTTTCTGGGGGATAGGGTTGATCGGATTTTATCACTGGTGTTTGATCCTTGTAGTAGGAACGAGCTTAGCGGCCTTCTAGCTACTCTCTTGGATGGTGAGAGTGTCGGAACTCGAGTCGAGTTGCCAAGGGTAGTGTGTGAATACCTGGAGGTGTTTCCCGAGGACCTTACCAGTTTGCCACCCCACCGGGAGATTGAGTTCACTATCGACTTAGTGCCTGGAATAGCACCCATTTTTATGGAGCCGTATAGATTTGCGCCCGCGGAGTTGCATGAGTTGAAGTTCCAACTCCAAAAGCTTTTAGACAAAGGCTTCATTCGCCCTAGTACGTCGCCTTGGGGAGTGCCGGCTCTCTTTGTAAAGAAGAAGGACGGGTCGTTACGGTTGTGTATCGACTACCGCAAGTTGAACAGAGTCACTATTAAGAACAAATACCCTTGACCCAGGATAGATGACTTGTTCGATCAACTTAGAGGGTCTTGTTGTTTTTCAAAGATAGACTTGAGGTCGGGGTACCATCAGTTGAGAGTTCGGGAGGAGGACATCTAGAAAACGGCCTTTCGTACGCATTATGGCCACTACGAGTTCCTAGTAATGCCATTTGGGTTGACTAACGCACCGACTTCTTTTATGGATTTGATGAACCGAATATTTAGGGAGTACTTGGATCGTTTTGTGGTCGTCTTCGTGGACGACATTCTTATCTATTCGACCTCCGAGGAGGAACATGAGACTCACTTGAGGATAGTGCTTGACTTACTTAGGGAGCATCAGTTGTATGCCAAATTTGAGATGTGTGAGTTTTGGCTCACACAGGTGAGGTTTTTGGGCCATGTCGTGTCAAAAGAGGGAGTAACAGTAGATTCCTCGAAAATAGATTCTGTGCAAGATTGGGAGCAACCTAAGAATGTCTTTGAGATTCGGAGTTTCTCGGGGTTGGCGGGGTACTATCGTCGATTTGTAAGAGATTTCTCTAGATTAGCCGTGCCTTTGACTAGATTGACTAGAAATGGGGTTAAATTTGTGTGGAGTGAGGCTTGTGAGAAGTCCTTCCAGGAGCTCAAAACTAGATTGACCATGGCACCGGTATTGATCATTCTAGAGAGAGGATTGGGGTATACTGTCTTTTGTGATGCGTCTCGGGATGGACTTGGTTGTGTTTTAATGCAAGAGGGAAAGGTTGTAGCGTATGGCTCCCGACAGTTGAAGACTCATAAGAAGAATTACCCTATCCATGATCTAGAATTAGCCGCAATAGTCTTTGCCTTGAAGATTTAGAGGCATTATTTGTATGGTGAGAAGTTTGACGTTTTCTCCGACCATAAGAGCTTAAAGTATTTGTTCTCCCAGAAAGATTTGAATCTAAGACAACGTAGATGGATGGAATTTTTAAAAGACTATGATTTTGAGTTACACTATCATCTGGGGAAGGCCAATGTAGGGGCCGACGCCTTACGCTGAAAAACTGTGAGTAGTTTGACGAGCGTGGCCCTTCGGGAGTGGAATATGTTGGGTAAAGTTGGTAAGTTTGGGTTGCAATTGGGGGAGTCCGAAGAAAGTGCTACATTGTTTACCTTGAGTGCTCAACCTGTTTTGATTAGTAGAGTTATAAAGACACAACAAGGAGACTAGGAAGTGGAATTAATACGGGATAGAATCACCAATGGAAAAGAAGAGAAGGGTTTGAATATTTGCTCGGATCAGAGTGTTCGTTACTTAGATCGCCTGTTTGTACCCGAATCTTGTAGAGAGGAAGTGCTTCAGGAGTTCCATCACTCACACCTTACCGTACATCCGGGAGGTACTAAAATGTATTGAGACCTTAACCGTCAGTTTTGGTGGAGGAGTATGAAGCGGGATGTCGCATCCTTCGTGTCAAAGTATGATACCCCTGTTCCGTGGTATGCTAATTGGTCATTAATTTGAGTATGATTATGTGATTAATATAATTTTGTGTGCCATTATGTGAATATATGCGGTTTTGAATATCTATCTGTTCACCATAGGAATATCTGTTTGATTATCTGCTTTGGAAATTAAATTGAAGGCCTTATCGGCCATAGAACTTGAAATTGATTGTATCATTGTGATTGGCATAATTTTTAGAGCCTACGGTGAAGTTTAATTGAAAAATTGATTCAGACCAGATTAAATTGATTAAACTGATGAATTAGAGCCCAATTATTTATTATTATTAAATAAATATTAGTGGGGCTTGTTGTATGAAGGCACTACACTCTCCTTTAACTCTTTTGAACTCAAAAATCCGAGTTATACAATTGTGAGAGAGAGAGGGCCGGCCATAGTGAGAGAAAGGGAGAGAGATTGTGCAATTTTGGCTCAAAGCTTGGAAACCTTGAAGATTTCCCAAGAATTTGTTGTAGATTGTGAGAATCACGGCTCCTAGGTGAGTATCTCATGGATGTTGTTTGGAATTTGTAGATTCAAGTTTGATTAATGGCCAAGAACATGAATTAGTTTGATTATAAGGAAATTGAGTTGAATTTGTTGAATTTGAAGTCATAGAACACATGAATGTAGAGGGTTGCTATGGATTTCCATGTTTGAGCTTAATTTGTGTAATCTATGTTGAAGTTTGATTGAAATCCATGTGTATGACCAATTCTTCACCAAATAAGTTGTGAATAATGTGTATTTCTCACATGCAAGAATAGATCATGAAAGTGTAAGCTTTGCATGTTTGAATTTGATGTGTTGGTGATGAATTTGGATTAATTTGAGACATGCATGTAGGTAATACAAGAAATTGAGATCCATGATGATGTGTTTTGGTGTTTATATCATGTTAGTACAAGTATATGTGAAATTGGAGCCATAATATGCAAGAAATGTGGTTGAAATGTCGAATTTGAGCTCAAAAACACAATTTGGGAAAACCCAGAAATTTGATGTCCGCTCGAGCGGGGAAATCGCCGTTCGAGCGTGAATTTCATGCTCCCAGTATTTTTTGTAGACCATGATGTCTGCTCGAGCGGGGAAGTTCACACTCGAGCGGGGAGCTTTGTGGAATAAACTTCCGCTCGAGCGTCTAAGTTAACGCTCGAGTGTAAAAATGATACATCTAGTACTTTTTGCAGACATGGTGTCCGCACGAACGGGGAAGTTCACGCTCGAGCGGGAAGCCATGTAGAGAGGCCTTCCGCTTGAGCGCCAAAATGAATGCTCGAGCATAATTTTCACCTATCCGGTACTTTTGTAGGCCTCTAGGGTCCGCTCGAGTGGGGAAGTCCACGCTCGAGCGGGGGCCCTGTTTTCTGAAATTTTGAAAATACATTCTGTGTTTTGTTTTCTGTTCTCTTTCACTTCTAAGTACTCTTAGGCATGCATTGAGCATTGTAATTGAGTTAAAGAGATAAGAATAAAGCCTAAAGAGGAAAATGTGAATTTGGGAATGGATTGAATGGTTGTTGACCCTTTTCTGTTCATGGACTGTGTAGGGTCGAGCTCCAAGGCAAACCAACCAACCGATCACTGTAAGTACTATCAATATTTGAAACTTATCAGTTGTCCAATTGCTTATTTCCTTATAAGCCTTGTGATTTTGCCAGTTTGAATTATGGACAAATGTTTGATACGAATGAACGAATGGGCCGAAGGCCGTTTTGACGAGAATGAATGGGCCAAAGGCCGTTTTGACATGAACAAATGGGCCGAAGGCCGTTTTGACATGAATGAATGGGCCAAAGGCCGTTTTGATATGAATGAATGTTCCAAGGGCCATTTTGACATGAATGAATGGGCCAAAGGCCATTTTGACATGAATGACTGGGCTGAAGGCCGTTTTGACACAAATGAATGGGCCGAAGGCCGTTTTGACATGAATGGATGGGCCAGAGGCCGTTTTGACATAAATGAGTGGGCCAGAGGTCGTTTTGATAGGAATGAAGAATAAATGTTAAATAAAAATGTGAATTGGGCCCACGGCCGTTCAAAGTATGTTGTTCTACATATCGTTTGTGTCTTTTTATTTGATATTATTCACTGGGCTATCGCTC